CATGTGCCTACACTTTGGTTTCCAGTGCTATTTATTTTTAAACCATGGTTGGTACGGCCTAATGACATTGTTGCAAGCCCACCTGTAGGAAGATGCTGCTGTTCATGTTAGTAGACATAGCTCCAGAGAGAATCAAGTGTATCGCTAGATCCACTAGTTGGGAATGCTACCATATCTGCCTTTTGGACTCACTTTTCTGGGAGAATTCTTTGGTGGTTTGAAAAAATTCCATTTGGCAGAATACAATTACTCCTCCTGCCCTCACCTCTCAGTGACGCTGCCTCTGACTCTCAAGGTCTTTGGGACTTTATTATTTTTTATGGGAATGTAATGATTAGTAGCTGGTAAAATAAATATGTGGAAAGACCACTGTCATTAAGAGTATCTTGTGGTTAAAATAAGCAATATGTAATAGTATAAAAATTTCTGTCAGGATCAAATGAGTTAATTTACATAAAGTGTTTAGAACAGTGCTTGGAACTTAGTGCCAAGGGTTCACGCATGTTCCCTGCTATGTGCTGCCCAGAGCTAAGCTGGAAATTTTCTCTCCTCTCGAAGCAGTCACTGGTTGTTTCCCTGAAAACGATACTCTTCAGAATGAGGTCTTCTAGTAAGTAAAATATGTCCCATAGTAAGTATTTAAGACGTACAACGTTTTAAAACACATTCAAATTATAGGGTCTTACAAATTTCTGGATCTCTGGCACTCAACATGGAGCCTGACATGAAATAGGCGTTTAATAAACCTTTGATGAACAAATAAATGACTGAGTTATTCAGATATATTTGCAACTTCAAGGGAAAAGTGGAACAATCTATTACCACATGCTGCACTGCCCAACCCATCTCAATTAAAGTGAGTTATTCTCTGTCTTCCCCCATACTGAAAGTCATAAATGTTAGGGACAAAGGAGTCCCTTTTACAAATGGAGATACTGGAGACCATCTCCTCTCCCACTTTGATCCAAGCATTTCAAACTATTTGCAGCTCCCCACGTGTATTATGCAATCTCATAGTCCAGAGGCTTGAGAACAGTATTTTCTCCATTTGAAGTGCTCTTGTCTGCTGGTCCTCCTTCCCCTATTTCCACTAATTCACCTGACTCTAGCCCATCTTCCCCAATTCACTCCTCCATTTCCTCCAGGAACCATTTGTAACTCTCTTGGCCTCCAAGGGGCTACATTTGGATGCCTTTCCTCATTAAGAATGCTCCATAACACCCTGTACATGGACAATATACTTAATACACTGTCCCATAAGAATAAGCCTTTCACACTGGATTGCAAACTCTTTCGTAGACAAGTATTACGGCTAATTTAATTTTGCATATGTAATGTCTGGCATATTTTCAGTGCACAATTGCAGAATCATATCCTAGCCTTACTGCTGTGTCCTGTAAATCAGTAAAATTGGAGTATGGCCTATGGCATATGTAGTTTCAACAAGCTCTTCAAGTGTTCCAATATCGTCTACAGCTTCCCACTAAAATGAATAGTAACTGAATTTAATCTCCTGCTTAGGACAAAAAATTAAAAAAAAACCCAAAATATATGAAAGAAATGAAAGAATAGTTTCTAAGACATTGTGTATCAGGCAATGAAGAACTGGTCCCTGAGAGATGAGAACAGTGAGGCCTATGCTTGCTTGCCCGAGAATACTGCAGGTAAAGAATGTTCAGGCTATGCTGGAAGGAGGGGAACCCACACAGGGCTCAGCAATCTCCCTGAATAGAGAAAATAGTGCCTAGGAGTCCAGGAAGGCCAAGGCAGCTAAAGTTTGCAGGGCAAATAATGGAGAGAAGAGAATTGCACAAAAAGCTTCAGAGATCTAGATAGGTCTCAAATTTTCAGGTGAATACTGAGTAACCCATGCATATAAAGACATTACCCAAGGCTTTGAAAAAGAACATCTGAAAATATTAAGAGACCACTCAAAACTCACACAGGTTTGGGAGCAGTGTCTATTTCCACTATCCAGAATGGAAAAACCTCAAAATTTGTATGGCAATAGGTAAAATACTCAGAAGAATTTTGCCTCAGTAATGGGGGAAAAAATTAGCCCTAAACTAAACATACTTCTGGTTCTGCCCAACAAAGGTGAAGAGCAAGAACCAAAAAGATTAAACTGTTACCAAGTAACCTAGCTGTCTTCCAGAATATAGCTCAAGAATCCTTATAGGATCACAAAAATATCCAATACTTAACATAACATTGCCAATGTCAGGCATCCGATTGAAAAATCACAATAAAAAAATGAGACCAATAATGAGAAAAATCAAGAAATGGCACCCTGGAAATGATACAACCGATAGAATTGCTAGACAAGAGCATTAAAACTATTAATATTCCATATGCTCAATAAGTCAAAGGAAAGACTGAACTTCTGAAGTCCACACAGAAATTATAAATATGATTTAAATCAAACTATTGGAGAAGAAATGAAAAAAGTTGACCAGACTGGGTTAACAGCAACTACACATCGTAGGAGAACAGAAAAGTAAATTCAAAGACAAAAGAGAGAAATAAGACTGGAGGAAGAAAAAACAAAGCAATAGTGAAATGTGGACTGACTTCTACCAGCCAATATATGTGTAACTGGAATTAAAAATTTCGAAATCTGATGAAAACTATAAGCTCACAGAACCAAGAAACTCAATGAATGCTAACCACACACACACACAAAAAAAACACATATAGAAAACTACAGTAAGGCACATCACAAGTTGCTCAAAATCAGTGATTACAAAAAATCTTGAAAGTAGCCAGAGAAAAAAAGCACATTACACATTCAAAAACAAACAAAATGATAGCAAACTTTTCTTGTGAAACAATAGAAGACAGAATAAAATGTATCATCTTTAAAGCATCAAGAGAAAAAAGATTGTCAACACAGAATTCTATACCCAACAAAAAGATGTTTTAAGAAGGAAGGTGAAATCACGACTTTATGAGATATATAAAAGCTAAAAGAATCCCTCACCAGAATAAAGAATACGAGGGGTTAGCAAAGAAGCTAGGTAGCCCTTGCCGGTTTGGCTCAGTGGTTAGTGTGTTGGCCCATGGACTGAGGGTCTAGGGTTCAATTCCTGGTCAAGGGCACGTACTTTGGTTGCAGGTTCCATCCCAGGTCTGAGTCCAGTAACATGGGGGAGGCAACCAGTGGGCAACCAGTAGATGAGTTTCTCTCACATCGATGTTTCTCTCTTTCTCTCTCTCTTACCCTCCTCCCTCCTTCCCACTCTCTCTCTCTAAAGATCAATGGGAAAAAAATATCCTTGGGTGAGGATTAAAAAAAAGAAGAAGCCAAGGTAAGCTCTCTGATGTGAAAGTATCTACTAAGGAAAGACCTTTATATTAAAACTTGGTTTCCATTAATCACCTATTTGAGCTCAATCACTGACTAATAAGGTTGTATTTCATTTGAAATAAAAATAAAGGTGGGTTTTGGTGTGTCTGAAACACAATGGTTGTGTATCACAGCAAAGCCCAAGCAGCTGGTTTTAATTTCTTGCTGAAAAGAAACACTTTTATTTTCCACTGTTTTATTATAAAAATCAACATTTCATTTGTTACAACTCAGCTTATTGTAATAATCAAAAGGGGGATTTATACAAGGTATCTTTATACAGTTTACAATTAAAGCACTTATTTTACAAAAAGGGGGAACTGAATAGTGGACAAGGGCTGACCAAATGTTGGCCATTAAAATATATAAATACATCCTTGCAAAGCACCATCGTACCAAAGTCCATGGACAAGAAACACCAGCTGACTTTAAGACAAAACGAAGATTAAAGCTTAAGAAAAAATTTAAAACACATAAAGGATAAACATCTGAAAGCAGCACCAGATCCTTCACTTGCAAATAAGGCTAGTCCAGCTCAAGCTTCTCAGTATCCTCTTTACTCTAAATTTTTGTCACTAACCCCAGATACTTAATTTCACGTAACATTACATTTAATCAGACTCTCTTTGCTTTATTTTCCTTTTAATACCCATATTAAAGGAATGGTCATATATACATATTCACATACATATATATGCATCCCTACCCTGATTATATTTAATTTTAAAAAGAATGGACAGTTAAGCAAAAGCAGTTCTCTATAATTGTTTGGTGGTAACTTTTAGGCAAATCCTAACTAATGGCGGGGGGAAAAGTTTTTGTTAGTTCTATATGGTTAGTTTATAATTCTATCTGTAAAGTCATGAATATTTCTTTCAGCGGTTAACTTCATGGTTTAAGAATGCCTTACAAAAAACAGATACAGAGTGAAGTGTACCTGCACTGAAGAAGGGTGAGGATAGTAATTTCACTCTATATCAGTGGTTCTCAACCTTCCTAATGCCGCGACCCTTTAATAAAGTTCCTCATGTTGTGGTGACCCCCAACCATAAAATTATTTTCGTTGCTACTTCATAACTGTAATTTTGCTACTGTTATGAATCGTAATGTAAATATCTGATATGCAGGATGTATTTTCATTGTTACAAATTGAACATAATTAAAACATAGTGATTAATCACAAAAAAATATGTAATTATATATGTGTTTTCCGATGGTCGTAGGCGACCCCTGTGAAAGGGTCGTTCGACCCCCAAAGGGGTCGCGACCCATAGGTTGAGAACCGCTGCTCTAAATAATCTAGATTACCCTAAAAAAAAATCTACCTCCCCCCCCTACTCATGTAGTTTTAGTTTAATAAAACACAGAATTAAGATAAATATCCTGAGCATATAAATTTACAATACTCAAAATTAATAATATTTCAAAATTATAAATGTAAAATGACATATTTTAGGTCCAAATTCTGTCTAAAACATTGAAAATTTCAAGAGCTAACTTTTCAGACTATTATGAAATGATGCCATTCCAGAAGACAGAAACCACAATGCACCAGTACTTTCTAAAATCATTTGTTATTTCTCTCTGCTCATTTTAGGCTTGGGATAAGGAAAGTAATACCAAATAAAATTAAATTTCTTTAGTTTAAAAATTCTGAGAACGTGTTTTAAACAAATTTGATTATAAACTTCATGACTCAGTTAATGTCTACACCTAGTGTACAGTCTCATTTGTAGATGTCCAAATATTTGTCAGCTAATATTTACATACTCATATCCACAGTCCACACTATGTAACTTAATAAAGCATGACATATTTGGGGTTTGAAAAGCCCAAGATTTCTGTTTCTGAATTTTGTTAGATGTGAAATGGTAACCAATATGCAGATCTTATAGCATGCAAACCAATGGAGTGGCAAGAGATAAAACAATTTTAAAACTGCATGAAAAGCATCTAATCTAGACACAGGACTAGACAGGGAACAGCAGCAGTACATCTATCGCAGAGGAGCTTCAGGAAAGTCCCTCTAGTACCAGAAGTAAACAATGTCTACCATGATTACTGGTATCAGGGCACATAAATATACACAGTTTATTAATAGCCCAGGTAAGCTGCAGCTACTAACTGTACCTGAAGTATTCTTCATTAATGGGCCTTTACAGGAAATGGGCTTTTCCCCCAAAACTAATTGCTACCCAATAAAAATGGAGGCTATTTTTATATCCTAATATTGAATGAGTTGGCCCTATACAAATTATTGACTTAAGAGAATTTTTAAATGAACAAATGCAATCCTCAAACATCCTGAAATTTTACTGCTCAAACCACCCCGCTCTGACTTATCCTCCGGTACTAGATTTCTAAATACATAACATCCATTTAGAATAGTTGTTAAATGTATTAACGGTTCAGAGCAAAACTCCTCAGACCACTGTTCAGAAGACCAGGGCTCTGCAGGAGCCAAGTTCAAAGTTAGAAAAGTTCACGGTCATAAAAGACCATGTTGATGCGGAACAGCTTACTATAGTGCACTGAACGTATGCTCTGCTAAAATTAATTTCTCAGATAATTCTAAACATATCAGTAAGTGGGCATACTTTAAGACATGTTCAAAATAAATACTTTTTAATTTAAGGAATCTAATGAAATTTTATTTATTCTCCACTCATGGATGATGAATCTCACAATACATCAAATTAAAAACCCTTTTTGATTTTTTTTTCTCCCAATTTGTGCTGTCATGATTTGTGTGGTTTTTTTTTTTTTCCTTAGTTTTTCTAATTAAAGCTCTTGTGTTTAATAATCAAGAAAGTTTACTTAAGCTTAACTGTCCATTTAACCTGAGGGCCAATAAATCCTTCCTGAATTCTGACAATTCTCTCATTTTAAAGGTACTCCCCAAAACATTAAAAATCCATCTCAACTACCCCAGAAAGAGGATTCTGAGATTAAGCTGAACTGCCTTCAAATAATTTCAAATTGGCACACAAATTAGCATTTTGCAAGAAGAGGCCATTGCCATCGCAGTACAAGCACTTGGACTGAGATACAACAAGGCAATATTCTTCTTAGTTCATTATAGTGCAAGTTTCCACATGGGAAGCCCACCAGATAAAGATGCACATTAAAAAATGTAAACATATAGAATTCTCAAATTCTAATTGATACCCAGTTATTGCTAACCTTTCCATCTTCATTTAAGCATCAAGTGCCCGCGGTATGTCACAAAATGCACCTCTGTGTCCATTCTGTTGGGCTGTGAGCACACTGTTCCTTTCACAGGTAGAGTTACACTTGCTGACTGAGATGCAAGACACTGCTGGATCACCATTTATTCAGATGCAAAATCAAGTGCACAGGATTCTTACAAGGCGCACGGATTCTTATAAGGTGTCCCCAGCAATCTAACCAGTATTCTGAAACCACGTTTTTTTCTCTTGAAAAAGTTTACTTAGGCATTTTTTAATTGCTTAAAGAATTACTTCACCCTTGCTGATATTCTGAATCCTTTCTTCCATTGTTTTTCGTTGGGCCCTTAAATCCAGAGAGGCCTCTCAGCAAGACTGAATTTAAAAAAAACCATTCAGCAATAAACGGCCAACATTTGCTAAGGTAAAAAATACATTAGTTTAAAAACACATTCAATTTTAGCAGAGAAATGCTGGAAACACGTGTAAAGCAGGAAACTAACTTCTGGCAAGGTGGCAACGCAGCGCTAGAATCGTTCCACAGCTCAGCCCTGACAGCTGGGGGTGCAGCAGCCCGTACCATGCAGGCCAGGCAGGTTACAGAGAGCCTTCCAGTATCCTCTCCACCGAGTTCTGACGGCTGAGAAGTTAATAGTTTGCCTTCTCATTTAATCCGTATTGTTAAATTTGTTAAATCATCTTAATCCGTAATGGGATAAGAGAGAACACACACTCATATATATATATATAAGAGGTGATTATAAGGATAATTTAGATAATTTGAAAAAAATCTAATATTCACATTAGGTAACAAGAAAGATATTAAACTCATGTCACACGTTAGAAGAGGTATGTATGCAGACATCATTCTGAGAAAAATTGGCCTAAAGAACACAAAAATGTCATGAACAGTTACTAACGGGAAACCCTAATGATAACAAAACATTCTCCTTTTATATAGATTGTCTCTAACCAGAACATATTTTAATATTTTAGTAGGAAAAATATATATATAAATGATTTTATACTGTGATATTACATGCTGAAAGTACTGCAAGGATATATGATCAACTTACAACAAAAACATACGGTTAAATTTGTAATTCTTAAACGTTGCCTATATGTGTTGTAAAAAGACAGTTTAATGAGCATTAAAACAATCTTAGAAGAGGAGCAATAATATGTCTAACCTTTGATCATTATGCACAAACAGCAGTCAAATTGAAGAGCTGAGCCTACAGGAGAGTGGAGCGAGTATAAATATTAAAATAAAACCTTAATTTAGAAAATTCCATTTAATCAATCTTCAGATAACAAGCTTTGAATAAATCATGGTATCTTGGCAAACAGCCTACAGAGCTGCTGGGGGAGCAAGCAGGGTGAAAACCCCTAGAGGAGAAATTCTGAGAGGCGAGTGTGGATTCTGAGGGAGGGCCAGGAGGCTGCACACACAATCAGCCCCACAGCATCTCACCAGACAACTGATCTTCCTACAACAGCAACACCCAGATTGGATTTTTGTATCTGTTTTCCTCACTAAAACTGCTGGGTTCTAGAGAAGACAAAGTCCTATGTCCCAAGTTAATATTAATTCCATTTTCTTTCGTGATTTCTTATACTTGTAGGCCCTCAAGTGCTAGTAAACATGAAGGCAATCTGGCTACTTCCAAGCTGCTCTAAAATGGACTTAAATTTTTCTTCTTCTACTTTTATTTTTGGTATCAATAAAGCCCAGACATTCCTGGTCACTGATGCCTTTATTATTCCTGTTTCCTTGTACTCAGTCACTTCACTGGGTTTAAGGCATGCTTTGTGTATTTAGTTTGCAAAAATAAAACTTTTAGTACAAATTTATTTTTATACAAATTTTTATGGCACAAGCAGCAAATTTGCTGTTTTACGAAAATATATAAATATTCTTTTCTTCTGTACAAATATCTCCAGTATTCCCTACCCCATTTATAATTTTTAACTGTACATGGTCTGCCTCATCCTTCTCTAGTATCTCCCTCCCCCCCTCCAGATCTCAACCAAATCTGTATGTACATGTTTGCATTGGAGGCAGTCAGAGGAGGAGGGCCCCTCCTCAGGAGGAGTCTGTACAGGGAGAGGGTGGCGGAGGGTAGAGGTGATGAGAGTAGCTCCTCTCTGTGTATGGTGAAGGTGGGCAGCTTTCATAGTTCTCTTCTGCTGACAAGTATTGGCTTCGGGGTGTGGGAGGTGGGGGCACAGGCTCTGAGTCATAGTTCAAGTCACTAGTGTAGCCCTTGGCTGTTGCCACTGAGGTCATTCTCCGGCTGGGAGCATAGTCACTGTCACAAACATCTGTGCTGCAGGGTGTGGTTGGGGGTGCAAAGTGCCGGTAACTGTATGGCCTGTAGCTGGTATAGGGAGAAAACCAAGAGAAGAGTTAGTTTTATGGAAAAGTGGCTTTCCCTATCAAAATACAGAGGTATTAGATGTAAACTTCACATTGAAGATAATAAACTACAATCTAAATTTGCACAGACCAGGAGGTAATTTTCAAAGGCAGATTGGAAGTGGAAGGTAGCATGTATTTTATATTTGAAAATACAATGTGATTAGAGGCAATTGAAAATGAACAGGATGGAAATGCACAGATAAACTCAATCTAGACCCTGGATGTGCTCTTATAGCTTTACATTAAACTGGATAAAGAAATAAAAAAGAACTATTCAAAGTTGTACATAATGGTTATTTTTGGAAATCTGTCAGTTATACATTCAGCCTTTAGATATAGTGAGCCTCACCAATTTCTGCATGGTCTGTAAGAAGAATGGGTCTTCACACTTTTTTAAAAATATATATTTTTATTGACTTTTAGAGAGGGAGGAAGGGAGAGGTAGAGAGAGAGACACTGATCTGAGCGCGAAAACACCGATCGGTCTTACACGCCCCCTACCAAGGATTGAACCCTCAACCGGGACATGTACCCTAACAGGGAATCGAGCCTGCAACATTTTGGTGCAGGGGATGACCCCAACCAACTGAGCCATGCCAGCCAGGGTGGGTCTTCACACGCTTTATACTACTTAAAAGTGTGTATGTTCCTTCAACATTCTTCAACTGCTCTATAATTTACCTGATGAATAATTTAGTGATGTCTGAAGACTTCATTCTCTCTTTAAAAATCAAATACTGTACAAGCCAGACTGAATATTATAGACAGCCTAAGGGGCATATCTATCCCATTACTGTTCTTATCAGCAAAGGGAAACTGCTGTGGTTTCAGAGAAGGTTTTGATTCTCCAAAAGACAAGCGTATGGTCATAAGAGCAGCTTTACCTCAACATCAAAATGATAAATTCTAAATACCCATAGAGGACCAGTGAACTTTTAATATGTATTTGACATAACTTACTTCTTACCTTTTTAAATAATCTATAGTCGTTAATAAAGTTTGTAGCATGACTAACTAAAGAAAAAGGCATTGAAAAGAGAGGATCATACTAGTAAAAATAAGAGCTGACTTAACGTGCTAGTTTTTCTATCATTTCTATTTCTACCTGCAACTTCTTATATTCTAAATATATAAAAGTTAATCTTATATGCTTTCTCATCAAATACAGTAACTGCAACAGAGGGGCAAGAACAAGTGCAAAACTGAAGTAACAATCCACAAAATACCTAGTGATAGAGAGTACCACAGATTATATCCCAGGATACAAACCATCTGAGAGCATTAGGACTTGCCTCAAAAGAGAAGGTTGCCAGAAGACCAAGTGTCACATAACCTGCTGAGCAGGTTTTCTCAAGCTTTTTTTTTTTACTACCAATATTAACATGATGTCATAGTATTTTTTAGGTCTTATCTTTCTGTCCAGATAAAAGAGCCTTGATAAAATTTCTTGGCTCAACATTTAAAAAGCCCAATACTTCCATTTTCATGGGGAAAAAACAGGGAAAGGAAGGAAACAGAATTAACAAAATTCTTTCAAGTTCCAGTTTAGACAAAAATCTCAACAAATGATAAGTTTCACTCAGAAGAAACAAACTGGCCTTAATTTGAGATGTGGGAAATTATTAAATAAGAACTGGTTTTGATGTAATTATGTTCATTATAATCAAACAGTTTTTTATTCAATTTAAAGAAATTAAAGATTTAAAATAAATATTTAGGCCTTTCTTTTTTTTTCAATTTTCAGGTTTCTGCCTTTCTATTTTGGCTTTTAATTTATTTGTTAACCCTCACGCGAGGATATTTTTTCCACTGTTTTTTTTATTTTAGCTTTTTAAAAACAAACTTGTGGCAGGAAAAGCAACATTCAGTTCAGTGTCAAGCCTATCTCAAATAGCCATTATCTATTAACTGAACTGAGAATTCTGAATGAGGTACTACAACAAGTTTCCATTTGATTTCCACACATCTATGCAGCTACTTCAGGGCAATTTGACTGGAATACTAGGAAACACCTTATCTAGAAGATAACAGGCACTTGAGGACTGACATTAAATACCGGGCACTGAGTGTTTAAACAAAGAATATCAAGCTCTTGACTGTTGGCCTTTCAAATAAGAGAGACAAGTAGGGCAACACTCTAATACTCATGCTTAACCTGCTCACTATGTTCTACAGATCAGCTCAAAGGCACACTCCCCCTCTTAATGAGTTGTGACCTATTTCATGCAATTGTATGAGAAATACCTCATTTCAGGTCATAATAACACATGTAAGCAAGGGCTGAACAGAAGCTTCTCTCAAATTCTGTGCTCTTAATAACCCTGCTGTTTTAGAGCGCTCTCAACTCTCTGAACCATGTGGAGTTTTATTCCAATACTTCATATCCTTAGACTTTCTATCAAACCTAACCCGAGCAGTAACCTATTTCGAAATCAGTCATTTTGATAGGTAACTTTTCCTTAGAATATTGCAAAGCATTGAGGGCTATACTGTTATTCTAAAAGCCAGCATTTGTGACTCTCTTTTAAACACTGTATAATGCCCTGAAAGAAAAGAATCTGTGACAGGGGCAGTGTCAGCATTACCAAGACAAGAGGCCTAGTCTCTCTGTGACCATCATCTACTCACTTGGTGCTACATCAAGCCCGAGGTATTAGAATACCCCATCCTTCTAATAAATACCTCTATCTGTGTTAGAGGAGGAGGTGTATTACCTGTAGGACCTATGAGTGGAAGGACTGTTTGAAGAATAACCAAATTCCATAGTGTAATGTGATCGCTCTGTGGCTGGGGATGGCGGAGGGTTCAAAATCTAAAAGGAAAAATAATGAAATTATTAAAATAACAATGGTCCATCCCAGACAGAGACTATCAAACTTTCTTTCAACTTCTCTTCTTCCATCTCTACTCGTATTCGTTCCCATTACACTATTAGCACAATCCTTCCTCTGCAAAGAAGTGACCTTAGGTTTGTGGCTCTCCACTCCTTACGACACAGTTTCATCATGGCTAACCAGCTCAAGGTGATGAGAAGAAAGTCTATAATCTAAAAGTCACTGGTTTAAGTTCAGTAGAGCTGGGTTTTTTTTTTTTTAAATATATTTTATTGATTTTTTACAGAGAGGAAGGGAGAGAGAAAGAGAGTTAGAAACATCGATGAGAGAGAAACATCGATCAGCTGCCTCCTGCACATCTCCCACTGGGGATGTGCCCGCAACCAAGGTACATGCCCTTGACCGGAATCGAACCTGGGACCTTTCAGTCCACAGGCCGACGCTCTATCCACTGAGCCAAACCGGCTTCGGCGAGCTGGGTTTTGATTGTTGTTGTTTTTTTCAAATTATAATTGTTTAAAGAAAAATTACTGACTTAGGAGAAATACCACGTGCTTCCTCTTTTGGGAGGTCATGAGATAAATGAAGGTGCTGAGGCCTCTCAGGAGTTTCTTTTACCTACACAGAAAGTAATGTCCAGTGCTTTCAAATATGCTGTTTACTACACAGCCAACATAAAGATTTACAAGTGCTTGCATGGTGATGATAAAGCCTTCTTTGAACCTTATATGCCTGACTCCTATACTAAAAACCTTTTTACATTACCATCACTGAGCACCCACATTTAACTGAGTTAAAAATCTGAGATCCTCTGTTCTTAGCATTCAAAGTGAAATGAAGGAAACCAGACTACTTACTGCAGGGAAGTAAGTGCCTTTGGTGCTTGAAGAGCTACTTGATGAGGCTCCTGTGACATGAGCTCGGTCATAAGGGGGTCCACTGCTTCCCCCCATGATACTGAGGGAGCTGATCATTGATTTACCTCGAGACATTCCTAAAATGAAGGAGGACAAATACGGATGAGTAAGATCTATAAAACAGTCAAAGAATTTGACTTTTAAACAATATATGCCTTCTTTTTCTAATAATTGAAAACATTTAATGGAGAAGGGAAATGAATACTCTCTAAAGTGAACACTTCCATTGAGAGCTGGCCTAGGACAAGGCCAAGAATAGCCTCTTCACCCCCCCCACCCCTCCCCACACACACCCAGAATGGAAGCAGAGCTCTTCAAAATGACAGGTTTTCAACCTCTTAAGGGATCTGAGGAGAGTGGAGGTTGTGCAGCAGGTTAGACTAACAGATCTGCACAAAAAGAAACTAAACCCATTTTTTTAAAATATATTTTATTGATTTTTTACAGAGAGGAAGGGAGAGGGATAAGAG